CAACATAACCATAATTATGTCCTGAAAATGGGAACATAATCAACATACCCATAATTATTATGTACAAAATCAACATAACCATAATTATGTCCTGAAAATGGGAACATCATCAACATACCCATAATTATTATGTACAAAATCAACATAACCATAATTATGTCCTGAAAATGGGAACATAATCAACATAACCATAATTATGTCCTGAAAATGGGAACATAATCAACATAACCATAAGTATGTCCTGAAAATGAGAAAATAATCAACATAACCATAATAATTAAGTCCTGAAAACAGGATCGCATTCAAAATAGTCACTGTCGAAGCTTGAAGTAAATTGACTGTTCAAACACTGTCGTATTTGGTTGATGTCTCTGAGAGTTTTCACACTGCCACAGTTTGTGTAAGTGACGGTACCTTACAGTCTTAGAACATGACTGTCTGGTACACTTGACATTGTCCAAAGGGTGTTTGCCTATTTCAAGTAGGGAGTGCTTATTTAAGCCCATATGGCCTAAATAAGGTAAGGGAGGGGGGGGGTAGGCTTATTTAGGCCACATGTGGCCTAAATAAGGTAAGGGAGGGGGGTTTAGCTTATTTAGGCCACACATGCTCAAACTACCCTTTTCAGGCAACTGAGTTCGTTCCACTTTCATAATGGTGCACCTTTCTCATTTAGTACAGTTTTATCTCAGTGTACAACTTATAAATCATAATCATAATGAATGTTGTAAGAACAAAGCACAATACGCAACATTTTTCTCAATCCCAATGGTTTGAATGAGGGCCAGATTTTTCCTTCATGGAGGGGCAAAAGCTAGACTACCATTTTGGCACACTTTGGTCAAGTGAAAAGGTCAAATCCTCCGAATGGACTTCCGGGTCAGATTTGGGGTATAAAAAGTGTACACAACGTGGCTGAGTCAAAGTTACACTATCTTTGCTTGAGTGGCACTCTCTCGTACTGTCTCGTAGTACAGGGTCTCCACAGGGTCGGGAAATCGGGACAAAGTCGGGAATTGTGAGAGGGGTCGGGAGGTCGGGAAAAAGTCGGGAATTTTGTGATGGGTCGGTAAGTCGGGAAAGGATAGGGCCTGTGTAATGTGTAGCTATCTAGACTGTATGGTTGAAATATCCTGAAGAGGAAACGTAATTGAACCGCTGTGGCGGAAGTGTATGTGTGATACTGAGGCTCGATCGGGAAGAATCAAGATCTACTTTCGCTTTCGTTACCGCCCAGAAATTTTCCGGTAATAGTCTGATAGACAAAGCAACATTTGTAACATGCAGGTTATGAATTATGAACGCTGTGTTGCCTTGAAAATAAATCAATATTAAAAATTGCCCTCTGCTGTCGCTTGTGGAAAAAAAAGAAAAAGAACTTATACAAGTGTCTTGATTGGTTCGCCCTCGTGACCGGTCAATGAACCTGTGAGTACCGGCGGTCTGAGCGCTGTGAAGTATAGGACTCCTTTAATGTTTCGATGTATGACTGGACTTCTTTTTGTCGTCACATTTTTAATATATTATCTAATTGTGCCATCATTTTCACTTTGATAAGCCCTTCAATTGCATGTACAACAATTCTGTGACTGATTTTGTTGATCCGCTTGTTTTGAAGAATCAGGTTGATGTTAATGAAATGCCTGAACAAATTAACTCAACCAGACAATTGGTAGAGAAATAGCAGGGATTTTGTTTCGGATGACTTTCACGATAGATGATGCAGTGACACTGAAAATCTGCCAATCTTGAACAGAAAGCTAAAATATAGATAGAAATTACAATCAACCCATCCAATGAAACGCGAACACTTTAGTTCAATAACAAGGCATGACGGATCCCGATTCCACACAAGGCCTGCACCAACGCGCGCTTTGCAGAGAGCTCTAAAGTAGTTATCAAAATGCTAAAAATTTGCTTCCAAGTTCAGTTTTTGTCCTCTAGCGTTGCCTTCAGTTCCCTCCTCCCCCCCCCCCCCCCCCCCCCCCCCCCCCATCCCCTTAATCACGGCATCATTTTTTCTAACCACACAAATGTGCAAGAATACAGACAGCATTTTCCTTCGCCAATCTTGCAATGTCATTCAAACAATCAACTCTGGAAACTCTGTAATTATCTTTTTCCAACATCTTCATAGATTTGTGTATGGCATGGCTGGCCTGTATAGGACTTGTAACTGCATGGCATTGTTGTTAGGTCTTTCTGTGTAGCAAATTCTTCCGATGCTGGTGTAGTACTTCTTGCTGACAGGTCCTCGGTAAATGGTTTTTTGTTTTTTTCTAAAGTGTTTTACGGCGCTCGCAACTGCATAAGGTCATATGAGCGCGCGGGACACACCTAATATTTTCAGTTGGTAGGAAATTTTGAATTTTGCCCGGGTGGCGGCCGAAGCCTACTCTTATCGATTTTAGACCACCAAGGGATCTTTAACGTGCGCAACTTGCACACGGGCCCTCCGAGATTTTTCGCCCGTGTCCGAGAAGGCTAGGTGTAGATCTTTCCTACCAGAAGATCAGGGGTGTGGCAGAAAGACAGTAGTAAGGAGGAGCCAAGGAGTAGCAGTAGAAAGGCTGCAGAAAGAGTTAGGAGCCCAGAGGAGGGGGCAAAGGAGGTGAGGGGGTGGGGCAGAAAGTGGAAATGAAAGCAGACAACAGAACATTGCAAGACAGCAGGAAATGAGGTGAAAGGAGACAATTTTAGAGAAGAAAATTTTTTGGTCGCTACCCGGATTCGAACCGGGGACCTTTGAATGAGAGGCCAACACCTTAACCTCTGTTTGGAAGTGAGGAAAAGATTGGAACAGTTGTGGTTAATAATTTTGTCCAATAGGCCTACATCTTGTTTGTTTGTTTTAGTAGAGGTTTTACGGCGCTCGCAACTGCATAAGGTCATATGAGCGCCAAGGGGTGGATGTCAAAAGAGAAGTCCTTACAGTACAGGGAATCAGACTTACTCTGCTCACCTCTCTAGCTTCAACAGCACAACGTTTGCTTTGACTATCAAGGCACCCCGGAAATAGCGGGTCACAAGAGTGTGACAAACATACAAAAGAAGTAGTGGAAAAAATGACAATAGTAAGGATTAGGAAAGAAAAAGCAGCAGTTCCCTGTTGTAGATCAGGCACAGTTATGAGCGTGACATGAATCAGCCCATTTACAATTCTACTGTGCATGAATAAGAAATGTCCCCCCTTTGGGAATGACCTATAAACACCTCAGTCAGTGGCACTGCCCGGGGGGGGGAGGGGGGGGGGCTACATCTTGCACTAAACAAAGACTACTTTTACATGACGTATATATGTAATAATAATAATAATAATAATAATAATAATAATACCAATAAATAGCATTGGTATAGCGCATATCCCCGCTCAACAGCAGGCTCTATGCGCTTTACACTATTATATTACAGAGAAACTCGGACTCAACCTAAATCTCGTTGAATCCGAGTGTTCGTTATGAGCAAACACGAGGTTTTGTGTAGATAATTACAGGCACTGAGCAAGTAATGTGTAAAGAGAATTCACAAATAGTGCTTGAAATGCCCGCATAGTATGAGCTGTGTAAAAAAAAAAAAAAAAAGACTGGTTCGTTCAAATGCATTCCTGTGTCATCTCGATTGTTTACCACAAAGTTGTGTTGCTGTGTAGATCCTAGCATAACGGCAACTTTTGATTTCATAGACAAGCGCACACTTCATTACGAAGATCCACGTCAAGACTAGTTTATCATTGTAGTAATAATGGTCAGTTGCCGAGGGGAAAAAAAGACTGTGGCGCGTTTGTATCTGCGACGTTCAACGCCCGGATCGCTAGTACCCCGCCCTCCCCGACACACACACAGTCACATGTGCGCAGGCCGCCCATCCGACTCCGACACGCGCCAGAGTAGACACCTGCGCGAGCCAACAACGCAGTGTTGGTATGAAAAAAAGGCCGCTGATTGGTCGCATGCAATCGGCTAAGTGAACAATGGTTCACGATGCTGTTGCAATGGATGGTTTCCGGGAATAGATAAAGTTCGTTCTGGGGAGAAAAATGAGCGAAGCCACATCTGCGGGGGCTGTTCACCCTGGCAGCGACCTCGTTGAATCCGAGCTCGCTGATTTAAGTGCTCGTTGAATCCAGGTTATTTTTAATGATTTTAAAGAAGAAAAAAAAAAACGGGGAATCTATCTCATCTCGTTAAATCCGAGTTCGTTAAATCCGAGTTCCACTGTTATTACCCCAGCAGACCATAGAACACTCCGAGACATTCTCAGCTTCCCGGGAAGCATACAGAATGTACAATATCACTACACAGAGATACAAAAAATAATATACACAAACTTATTTAAATAAGTCAGGCAAAATCCAGACGAGTTCATGAATCAGGATTTCAGGATTTATTCAGGACATTGATACCTCTATATGAGTCTATACTGTATCAGACGTATAAAAGAGTAGAACACCTAATTCATTTAATTCTGTGTTGTTGTTGTAGTTGTCATGCTGGCTGGTCAATGCACACCAATGAGAACAGAGGTAGACTTTGCTGCATAATAATCGTCATCCTGTTGGAAGACTTGCAATTTAAAACAATAGATTACGTATAAAAAAAAGATGGACAATTTTACATGAGGATTAGCGCAACTGATTATCTATTTGAGTAAACAGCAGGAGCATTATATCCACACAACGATGGTCATCTAGGGATGGGGAAAAAGAAAGACGGACAGACAGACAGACAGACAGACAGACAGACAGACAGACAGACAGACAGACAGACAGACAGACAGACAGACAGAAATGCCGATATGACATGGAGGAAGAACAT